TTACCCCAGATGGCATTTATTTTGTATTGTACATAGATGTGAATAGAATAGAAGAATATGGTTGTAGAACTTTTAACAGATGTCTCATTTTTAGCTGGTTTTATACCTCAGTAATTTATGAAGTTAGTGGAATGTAACTTGTATTAAATAACAGTTTGAATAATATTAAACTCCAGGTCTAATAAATTAAATTGCATGCTCTGTGAAACATTTCCCTATGGTAAATAGAACCAGCTGCAAGCAACGTAGGAACAGAAGATGTGTATTTTTATAAAAGAGGAAAAGATTTAAGCTTCCAATTTTCTTGTCATTGTAATAGCTTTGTATTTATGGTTTACATATACGCAATATAAACTTTACTGAAAATAGGACGTATAGGAAACAAAACTCAGCATTAATCAAATTACATTTGGTAGAACCACTAGTTTCCAATATACAGTCTGAGTCAAACTTTAAAATGTCAATCCCAACTGCAATTAGAAACACAGCATCTTCCTTAGCAATGTCAACCACTCTTTGACCTGTGTCTCAAAAGTGTATCTCTTATCCTAAATGTTGTTTTCTACAGAAATCTCTTGTCGAGGGGAACGAATCCGAGATTACTACCAAAAGCAGCAAGGGTATGCTGCGTGCCAGACGACCAAGAAGGTATCGAGACTAGAATGTAAAGGAGGATGTTCAACCGGGCAGTGCTGTGGACCACTGAGAAGCAAGAGACGGAAATACTCTTTTGAATGCACTGACGGGTCGTCATTTGTGGACGAGGTTGAAAAAGTGGTGAAGTGTGGCTGTACAAATTGTCCCTCCTAAGTGTCCCTGTCACACTTGTCTTTTGAAAATGTTGTATACTTATTGACCGCGTCGGACTAATTAATGCTTCATAGTGGAAATATTTGAAATATATTGTAAAATACAGAACAGACTTATTTTTATTATGAGAATAAAGACTTTTTCTTCATTTGAAAAAAGATTCAAGTGCTTGAACTGAGACTTCTCATAACCAAGAGGAGCTTTGAAGAAAAAAAAAAAAAAAAGACCTGGTAACGTTGCAACAGAGATGGGAAACTTTTACTGCTTTTAACATGGATTCTTCTTTATAACATGCTGAAGATACACTGACACTATACACATGTGACTTGCAACTTAACAGCTCAGAGATGAAATATTGACCAGAACATGAGGCTTGTTTTTTCACTTTGGTATCAGTATATTTTATTGTCTTGACAGACCGTACCAATCACTTACCTATGGATGAGGAAGCATTATGAGTGAAAAGAATCAGATTATACAGAAATAACAATTGTATGAAATACATTTTATCTTTTGGAATTATTAAGCATCTTGAGAAGATGGAGTCCCATTTAATGGATGGGAAATGGGAGATATGAGAATATACTATAATCCTGAAATCTCCTGATGATGTATACTTTTATGTCAGCATGTTAGCAAAAGAAGCATAAAAAAGTGTTTATCTGCCCTTTTCCAGTATTAATTTTTTGTAATATAAATGTTTTGGGGATGATAAAAATAGATTATTGATGGATAAATTAGTAATAATATGGATTTCTGTTTCTATGAGTTCTAAACAACTCTATACAGTATTCGGTTTCATTGAGAAATATTTATTGTATCAAAGTACATTGTACTTAACCCTTTTAGGCCATCCCTTTTACTGTTTTTCAATGCTTTAATATATATTAATTTATATTTGTCCCAGTATTTTTGTAATTTTTTTTATTTTTTTTTTAAAAGGACTTAAAAATCAGGATTTTTTGCAATAGAACTAACGTAGCATGTCGTCTTGGGGTAAATGTTTTCGGTCTGTTTTTTCCTCCCCTTCCCCCTTCCTTTTGCTTTTCCTTAGAATCTGACCACTTGGTGTCACTGAACCTGAAAGTGATGACAATCTGCAGTTTTCACATACAGCAGATATTCAGGACACCTTCCAAGAACCTGTAATATATGACAGAAAATGTCTTTACACTAGGTGGCAATTGTAGAGAAGTTAATTTTCCCCATATACAGTACTTACAGAAAATAAGATGGCGTGTAGAAAATGACATTAGAAGGTAGATCTTTATAAATTAATATTCCCATGGAGCTCTTTACCTTTTTTATAAAAAAGAAAAAAAGGCTGTGCTATCAAGAACTGTGACTTTCCCCAAATAATAAAACTACTTTACTGCCCTAATGTTCCCCATGTTAACATGTTGCTGCTAAATTATAATGTAGAATTGGTAATCAATAGTGGGTTGTGTTCTTCTTTCAGTAAAACCCAGGGTACCCTGTAAAAATGCAGATGTTTTTCAATTTTATTTTATTATTTTTTTTACAAAAAAATTAGATGTACATGTGTAATGCAGTGTGCTTTGTCTTATTTGGACTGATATCAGTAATGCTACTGATGTTTGTAAATTAAACAGATATTTACTTCATTAACAGCTTTTATTTGTATTCTTCTGAGAAGTTTAAATTGTCTAACAGCCTTTAATTAAACATCTGTAGTTGCAAAGAATATTTGGTAAAAAACAGAATAAAACCCAACCCCAGATCTAGTGTATTCGTTGCTGAAAATCTGAAGAAGGAATTAACTTGGGATTATTACACCTACAGGCAGTGACATCTGAAAATGTCAGTTCATTACTAACAAAGCTGAACTCGTATCAAAATTAACAAAAGACTTAAAAATAAAGTACACTGCATGAAAAGGCAAATTGAGTCTATCCTAATATTTTAATGTTTATACAAATGGCAAATTGACAGTTCTTTTAGCAAGTAATTTCATTCTTCAGAGGGATTCTTTTTCACTAATCTTAGTCTAAGTATTTTAAATTAGAGCAATTGGATGGGATGATAGTTAACCAGGTTTCTCTTCTGTAATAGAATTTTTACAGATAATTCTGTATTTATTTTACTTAGTCTACTTTAGAATTTGTCTAAATATCCAGTGAAACAGCCTTTGGCATGAGGCCGCCTTTGCAGTTTCTATGACTTCTAAATAATCTTCTGTAACTAGAGGTAGCTTTGAGGAAAAAGACGCCATTTTTGTGCTAACAGTACTTATATAGCATTGTTGGATAAACAGTATTCTTTTTCTGTCTATGATCAAAATCCCTTTACCAAGTATATGGAGTTGAACAGCTTTCTGTCCTCATACTGACAGAGAAAGAGAAACTTTGCACTGGTAGTCAAGCGATGCTAGCAGCTGCTGGTGATCCTGAGGCCATCAAGACAGGGACTTTTTGTGGTCTATGAGCAGAACTAAACAAAAAGTTAAGAATTTAAAAAATAAAACCCACAAAACCAAACTTTGGCACCTACCCTTCTGGAGGAATGTAAGGTACCTACATCAAACAGTGACTCAGCTCACCTGAGAAACCTGAGCAGCCCCGTGTTCTCCATGTTCTCACCACTGAAGGTCCTTAAGCATCGACAAGGTGTGCCACTGTGCGTGACAAGAGATAACTTTCTCACTGGGATGGGCCACCCTGGCAGCTTTCTCATGCCTAAATCAACATTCTTGTAATATTGCTGTAACAGGCTGCCTTGTACCTGTAGTCCCCAAAAGCGAAATGGGGGTCCTGAGGGAACTGTAGCTATAGGCATAGCTAACATAGTGGAGAATTTAGTTCAGTGCAAAACACTCCAGACACGTAGGTTTTCATTCAAAAACATAAGCTATGCAGCTTTTAACACAGTGCTTGGGGATTAGGTTTCTCTCCCAGGGTCTGCTGCCTGCTATAGGAATCACTCTCATACAGTCTGCTTTTAATGTATTGAATAAAATGCATAAACAGCATTGGGTCTGAAGGATACGACTCAGTACAGTGACCAAGTTCCTTACTTCAAGTTGACGCTGCATACAATTCAAATTCTTTTTCCATTAGAAATCAAGAAAACTGAAACTTGCAGATTCCATCATTTTCTGCCAGTATTCTTAAAAGCTATAAAAGAGCACATGAATACTGTTTAATTTGTACTGGCTCATGCACAGCTCTTACTGTCATCTCACAGATGATAAAAATGTGAAAGAGCATGGAAAAAAGACCATTCTTCTTGAACGAAACAGTAACAAAAGTCATTGCTTTTTTGTTCAACATTGCAAGTCAATTCAGAACAGGAACTATCACACACAGAAACCCAGATTCTGCAGCCTGTATTAAGGTTTCTGGGGAAGATGGATATGTGAGTGATACAAATACTGTTTTACGCAAACCAATGGTGGGCTTTGAAAAAGCTTCGAGAGATACAGTTTATTTTCTAAGCTCTACTGAAATAACAATTTTGTCTTGTGTTCAGAATACTTTTTATTGCCATATGGGGGTACCATGAAGCTTAGTATTACAAGAATCACTGTAATATGATGATGCTCTGTGTAGGTGCCACAGTCAATATATTATACGAAGTTACGAAGACATTTGCCTGGAAATACCAGACTGCAGAGTTTTTCTAGATAACAACAAATCTGGCAGACCTGATGATCCACAGTGTACTTTCAGGAATAGTAGCAAGGCAATAGAGAAAGTGGATGTCACCGTGTTAGTTTTGATGAGATGAGTGATGATTAAGAGATGAGGGGGAGAGTGGTACGTTTTGGAAAGGAGCTTGTTGTTGAGAAAGAAATGCCCAGAAGTTTTGGAAAAGTGTCAAGAATGTTGGAGGCTGTTTGCATTGAGGCTCTGGATTTTGGGAGCTTTATCTGTTACTGCCTGAAACTTACGTATTTAAAAGAAACCTCCTTACAGTTCTGAAAAATGCACACTTGATCTGTCTATCTTGAGTTAACCCTGTTGTTTGAGGAAAAGTTTATCTTTTTGAAGCAATTCAAAATCCCATCTTCTGGTTGCTTTTCTTCTCCTTTAGAAGCAAGTGTTATTCTCGCGGTAGCTCGTTAGGCGTGCGAGTGTCTGTGCTTCAGCTATCCCACCTTACAGCGGAGAGCCTGGCACATAATTTCAGTTCCCATAAAGTGCAATTCCCCAGCTGAGCCATTCAGGATTCTTGGCTTTTAGAAGAAATATTTATACACTGAGCTGGTATCTCCAATCTATTTAAGATTCCTGGAGTGGAAATCAGAAAATCGTTGGTAGTTGTGACTATGTAGGGGCTGTCAGGAGTAAAGTAAAACTGAAGTGTTTGCCTGCATGCCTGGAGAGCCTGGCTTATCCTGGAGAGCCTACTGTTTTACTGCATTCTTTATGTATTGTGTTCCAGGGAGAGCGGGAAGTAGTTGTGCTCATCCTTTCAGAAATGTCTGAGAGCAGAGGGATTTTGTGTCCTTTTGCAAATAAATTGTCTAGGCTGGAAATCATAGGCCTCTTTGGCCCTCAGCCAGGTTAAACTGCGTATGTATACCTTAACATCAACCATCATCTTGGACACCAACAGCTCTTGATGTTAAAAAAGTGAATAAATCTTGCTCTCAGCTTAATCAAACACAGATGGGAAAAGCAAACCAAACAGAGAGTTAACAGCTCTATTCACTAGTCTCCTGGGCTCCATGTGATTAAATCAGAGTTGGAGGGTATGTTCCTGCTGCTGCTGTTCTGGCCAGTGTCCGTAGGGGTGATGGCCAGCAAAGGAGAAGTATTCTGTCAGTGCTGCATGTCATTTGTCAAGTTGAGAAAAAACAGTCATCTCACTAAACAGCAAGACTTCTGGCTATCCACAGTCCCAGCAAATACGCTCCAGCTCTACAGCATGACACCCATGCTGCAGGAATTTTGCTCAGCCATGGGAACAGACTTGAAAAGTGCCTCCCAGATCCACAGCTTAATTTCAAAATGTTGATCTTAGTAATGCGTTCTGGTCTTTACAACTCCATCCTTTTATTGCATTCCAGTTCAGAGGTAAACTCCTTTAGTTCCAAACATTGTGCCTCAGTTCTCTCAATCGCTGCCCTATACTACACACAGGAGATTAAGACTTGCTTTTTGTTCCTTTTTTAGGTATTTGTTAACATTTGTAGAGGGATCAGAAGACCTGCCTTAAAGAAGGAGAGACAGGTTACATATCCAGCTGCAGAGATCAGACATTTTCATGTCCTTTATAATTTGGAAAATGTTACATTACCTCCCGTGGAACAGTCTGACATACATAGATTGCTATAAACTTACATATTTTATGGATTTATAGACTCAGACCAGGGGAACTGCTATCTGGTTTTCGTCTGCTAGAACTTTTTTTTTTTTTAATTCTTTTTAGGATACTTTCTGTATCACAAGAAACAAGTAAAGATAGAATTAATGTGCCTGGGTTGCTTACTCTGTCATTAAAGTTCCTTAAAAAGATCCAGTAGCCTTTTTCCAGGACATTTTTCTTCTTTCTCATAGTTTTTCACATTCTGGGCTTCAGTCTGTTGTTTCTGTGTGATGGCCCATTTGTCCACTTTGGTTAATTTCCAGGACAGATTTAATCCTTCTAAAGAGAGGCAACGGATACCTTTTTTTCCCTGCAGCTGTGCCTAAAATCTCTCACAGCACATCTTTAGAAGTATGTTTTCTTTCAAAGTCCTCTGAGAATAGGTTAACTTGAGCTGTTTTTACTGCAAACTTGTTTTTTTGCTTCTGATTAGCTTTATTTATTTAATCACATTTCTGTGTTTCTGCTATGGTAACAGCAATAAGAGCGGTACCAGCTGACCTGTGCTTTAGAAGTTGCTTGCTGTTTTGAAATGGCAAGTTTAAAGAATATGAAGTTTGCCTGTTCTCTCTCCTTTTTTTTCCCTCCCTTTTTTTCTTTTTTTTTTTTTTTTTAATTGGATTTCCTTCCCTATCAGTTCACCCATTTTTGGGCAGTTCTATGATTATTCTCTATGGGAAAGGTAAGGACACAAGTAATTGTCAACAGCAGATAAAACTGACCACAGAAAACACACAGATCTACAAAAAAAAAATTGTTTCTAAGCTCTCAGAAAAATCAGAAGTAATTATTCATTAGTTGTTGCCTTCTTTATGCTGAACAAACTTTTACATGATTAGTGAACAAAGCGATTAAGCAAGTCTGCAAGTACACCCCTAGAAATAATTACTGCAGTGTGTCCAGGGCTAGAGGAGGAAGAAAAAGGGGCCTTACAGTTACCTAATTCTAGTATACCTTTTTGGGAGAGGAAGGTTTGGGCACATTTCTGTGTCTGAATACCCACAGTGAGACCATATGGCACTGCACAGACTCCACTGCAGAAGAAGGTTCACTGTTATCCTAAATTAAAAACAAAACAAAAAACCAAACAAAACAAAACAAAAAAAAAACCAAAAAAAAAAACCTAGTGAGAAACTTTGCAAACCAGCTTAAAAATGAGAAGCAAAAGGTTCGTTAAGTCCCACTTGATCAAAACAGTGCTCATCATCCGCTATCACAAACCACAGACCAGCCTTTGGCATTCACCCCTTCCCTCCAGCTCCAGGCACTCCAGGCACTGCTTGCCTC